TCCCTTTGGCTGGCCATCTTAAACCTGGCATCGTCCCATCTTCCCCTAATCTGCTTTCCCGAAACTCTGGGCACTGCTCTTGGGCTAGTTTCAAATGATCACTGAGACTTGGCTATCGTGTTCGGCAAGGTTCTCCCGAAGCCTGTGGATAGCAGAAGGAAGGTGCATGCAGAGCCAAGTGTTCCACAGGGTCTACAGGGGACTCTCCTCTGCGCCCCTATGTCCCCCACCCCAGTCTGCACCTGTCATAGCAGCCAGCTTGTCCCCCCCCATACCTGCGTGCTCTCCACATGTCCTCCCCCATGGGGGACCAGGTCCAGAAAGCAGGGAAGAGTCCAGACACCCTGGAAACTTCAGCCGCAAAGACATTGCAGGCTGGGTAGGCGGCTCTTCTGGACTCAAGCTCCACTCCAAGCTCGCATCTTGGCTTTACCTTTGCAGAAGAAACTGACTTGAAATGAGATTGGGGGGCAGAGTCAGACCGTGCAGGGCAGAAGGTGCATGGGCGTCACTGCCCAAAACTCTCCAAGCTCTGGTGTCACTGGCCTTTCAGTTCCTATGAGAGGCCGAGGTCTTTCCCCTCCAGGTGGCTCCACACGTGGTTTCTTCTGCCTGAAGTGCTCTCGCCCCTTGTGACACCTCCCTTGTGACTCCTTATCCTTCATACCTTAGCTTCAATGTCACCTCAGAAAGGCAGTCCCGACTCTCCCCCCCTGCATGACACCCGCCGTGCTGTTTCCCTCCTCACCCTCATGTCTGCGTCTGCTACGAGGAGGGATCCGTGAGGGCAAGAGCTGCACCTGCTTTTAAAGCTCATCTGTGTGGGGACCCGATTGAGGGGACCTGATAGTGCAGGCAGGCGGCCCAGGTAGGGGCAGTTGTGGATGTCCAGCTGGGAGAGGACAGTGGCTTGGACCCCGATGAGGGCAGGGGAGGGAGAGGATGACTCGAGGATGGCGGGAGTCGGCCGAGCCAAGGGGAGGCGAGCACCGGCCGGGAAGGGGAACGATGGATGAAGAGGAAGCTGGAGCTTTTCTGAGGCCCAGAAGGAAATTCGCTGTGGCCAGGACATGTTGACACTAAAGTGATAGATTTTGCAACTGAAAAATATCTTAGAGTCAAGACGTCCCATTTCATGTAAAGATGGACCTTGGTTTACCGACAAGGAATCAAAACCAAGAGGAGGAAAGGACTGGCCGTGGCCGCACAGGCAGGGCCGGGTCCAGCCCAGGCTGCCTGGTGACTGCGAGCCCACACTCCGGTGCCCTGCGCTGGAGAGTCCCAAACAGAGCACCACAGGCCAAGTGGTGGAGAAATGTGACACCCAGAGAGTCTACGCCAAAGGTTAAAGGAGCTGAAAGCTCCCAGGCCAAGCTAACCTGAGCCTGAACCTGGCCGCTGTCCAGCTGGTGAGGAGGAGGAGGAGGAAGTCCAGGCCAGGGAGAGCCCCACCCTGCGGAGCCCGGCGCCTTGGCCAGCAGGTCGGCGGGCTGTTTTCTTGACTACACAGGGTGAACACACTCCTTGCTAGTAAGTCCCAGACCAGAGGCACAGCCTGGTTCTCCTCTTCATGCTCTGTCTTCAGTGCTGCTACAGCAATCTGCTGGGTGGCGTTGGTTCTCTGGCTGCGGCCTCCAAGACCTCCCTCTCCTTCGTCTGCCCTGACTCCATGGGAGGCCAGAGGCACTCACCCCTCTGGTGTCCCCTCCTCCCTCACAAGGTCTCTTCAGCCAGTTGACCCCTCATGGAGGCAGCAGGCCGGGCAGTCACCTCCTCCTGCGGCAGCCACAGAGTCCCTGCTTGTCACCCTAGTGACTAGGCGCAGGGACTGTGCTTTTGCTCTGCTTGTTGCAATCCACTGTTGGGCTCTGAGGACTCATTTAATTCTGGTGTGACAGCTGGTGCCATTGGTGGCTGCTGTGCTACCCTGGTGTGAGAGCCTCCAGAATTCCTCTCTCTGGGCCCCAGTCATCCACTGGGCCCCCTCCTTCTAGAGTCTTGGCATCAGCTGTGGCCAGTGTGAACTGCCAGCTGAGCCTCCTCTGCCGTCCTTTCTCTCAGCACTGAGGACCCTGCCCTGCAAGATGTTCTGGCCTCACCATCCTGCTTGGTACACAAAACATGGTCAGCCATTGCCAACCAACTGGTCCCAGGCCCCTGATGGGCTGGGTGGGCCTGGGTGCCCAGGTAGGACCCTGCTACAATCATTGCTCTAGATGTGGAGTGAGAAGTGAAAAGGAAGCCATCTCAGTTCCAGGAGTGGGGTTCACTCTTCCTGAACTCAACTGGGGTGAGCTCTCCTAGACCACTGGAGGTTCAGGGCCTACTTACACACGTTTAAGATGCAGCCAGACTCCCCTGAGCTGGGCGGGGCTGGGGAGCAGATTTACAAGGAAGTAACCCTGCTGCTTGCACCCAGCAGTAGGAGGGACTAGCGTTACTGATTACCTACTATGACCAACAGTGTGCGAGAATTTGTTTTTATTGCTCATCTAGTATGTGTCGTATGGTGGGACTTGGCAGGGGCAGTGAATGTGAACTAGTACCTACTAAGTACCTACTGCATGTATTTATACAGTAAATGTGTTATAAGTGGGACTATGAGATTCTAGTTCTGTACATGGGAGAACCAACTCCAGCCAGTTTAAGCAAAAAAAGGAGAATTTTTTATCTGGCTTTGGAGACATCTCATGGAATCTCATGGTAGAGATGCAACCAGGCCTCAAGGACTTGAACCAGGGCCCGAGACACTGCTGGAAGCCCTCTCCCTCTCCTGTCCTTGTTCCTCTCTGCAGACCAGCTTCCCACTGCCAGTTCAGCTGGCACAGGGTACCGGAGCGCCTCTCATTAGTAGAAGCCCTCAAGCTGAAACAAAATCTCTGGTCCAATTTTCAGTTGTCAAAGGAGAATCTTTTCAGCTAGCTTGGGGCTCACTCTATCTAATCAACTACAGCCGTAACAGTCGCCACGAAACATAATCCTGGTTGCTGGGGTTCTGCCCTGCAGTGAGGATGGTTGCTGTGGGTGGGAATGACGTCTATCTCAGGGAACTGTCACTTACTGACCATGGGGTGGGGGTGCCTGGGCCACTGAGGACCTGTGGTTGTGCTGCCTTCACACCCACTTGTCCCCAAGCCTGCCCTTCAGGACAGCAGGGAGGCACCTCTCCACTCTCCACTGTCTCTCCAGCCTGTGCACAACACCTGCTCCAGACAAGGGGTGCAGTAAATGTTTGCTGAATTAATTAACTCTATTATTTTTAGTCCCCCCAACTATGTAGACTAAGTACTGGTGTCCCTGTTTTACAAATGAAGAGACAGAGATGCATAGAGACTAAGCAGTTTCTCTAAGGCTACACAGCTAGAGCTAAGACTTGAAACTTCAAGACCAATTTAGCTCCAAAACCAGTGTTCTTTCCACCATTCATTCATTCACCCAGCAAACATTTATTGAGTATATGCCGGGCGTGTATACTAGGAGCTGGGGATGTGACAATGAACCAACAGACTCAAGTCCTTTCCTTCATGAAGCTTACATTCTAGGGGTGAGGACAGACAAAATTCCAGATTGCTAAGAAAAATATACAGCATATGAGAGAGTGATGAGTGCTAAGGAGAAACATAAGGAATAAAGGCAGTAAAAGAAGTAAGGTCAGGGGTAGAAAGTATTAGGGGAGGTTGTGATTTTAGATGGGGTGGCCAGGAGGTCTCCCTGAGAAGGTGACCTCTGAGAACATTCCTGAAGGGAGGGAGGGAGCCAGGTGGGAGAGACGCACTCCAGGCAGCAGGAACAGCCAGTGCAAAGGCTCTGAGGCAGCAGGAAGGAAGAGGTGGTGGGCAGACGCTGTTCCTCTGAGGGAGGTGAGCAGTGGCATGACCTGCTCCACCTTTTCATGGGCTCACTGTGGCCACCAGGTTGAGACTAGCCCAAGATGGGACGTGAGAAGCAGGGAAGCGGCCGCAGCCCCTCCTCTCTCCCCTCTGTACTCCCCCCCCCCCCCGCCTGCAGATGCATCTGGGGGCTGGTCATCCTCACCTTCTACTCCATGCCCATGGCCACTACCTGCTCCTGACCTTCATCACCGCCCATCTCAGCTACCCAACAATTTCTGCTTTGGGGACAGAGTTCAACAGCCCTGAGGGGAGCCTGCTTTTCCACTTTAACTCCAAGCTAACTGGTAAGACCCAAAAGTAGGAAAAAGACTTGCACAGTCAATGTTTAAACCGAGGAAGCTACTGCAGACAACTTTGGAGAGACAGTAAATAAAAGAATAAGAAAAAAAAAATTTTTTTAAAGATAAAAAAGAATTTAAAAAGAAAAACAAACAAAGAAAAAATAAACAGAGGAAGATTTTAGGCTTTGTTTCTCCCTTCAAACCCCCAAGGGAACAGAAAAGGAAGGAAAATCTCATGGGTCCCCTGCCCCAGCTCTGCCCAGCATGGCTGGACTGTGGGGCTGGCTGGGGCTGGACCCTCCTTGGGACCAGAGGGTAAATGAATGTCAAATGTGTGCAAGAGTTTGCAGCCACCAGCCCTGCTGGGCCCCCTGCTGTGCTTGACCCTCTGGGTCAAGCCCCTTTATTATGAAGGGGATCCCTTGTAATGCTTTGCAACGAGCAGGGTGAAAGCCTGCAACGCCACACCATTGTCCCCAGTCCAGCCTGCCCTAACCCTTTCTTGAGGGGAAGGACATCTACAGCTGTGCCGTCCTGGAAGGACACAGCTGCAAGACAAAGGCAGTGGCTGAGCATTTGAAATGCGGCCGGTCTGACCTGAGATGCTCCCTAAGTATAAAACACACACCGAACTCTCAGGACTTTGTGCACAATAAAACTATAAAATAGCTCATAAATAACTTGTATATTCAAATGTATTTTGGAATCAAATAAAATATCTTCGTTTCAGTGTATTGTTTTCACCTGTTTTTAAGTTTTTAATGTGGCTGTTAGAAAAGTTTAAGTTGCAATGTGACTCACACTGTATCTCTATTAGACAGGGCTGTTCTAGAGTTTGATGGGCCCCTGATCAGCTCCAGGGAGCAGGGCAAAGAGAAGCACAGTTATTTTGTGAACTGGTAATGGAAAGATAACTTTGACTTTGTTTTTCTTTTCTACTTCATCCCCATCACAAGGACAGAGCAAGAGGCATCGTAAGGGTGCAGGAGACAAGGGACAGCCTGCTCCCTTCCAACCAGCCACCCCTTCACCAGTCTGGAGTACGGGGTGTGTGAGGCCAGATTTGCCTTTTAGGAGCAGAGGCCCGGCCATGTCCTTGATACTCTTCGGAACCCTCCAGGGGCACCTCACACAGTCCACATGCCTCACCCTGGCCTCCCAGGTCCTGTGCAGCCTGAGCCAAACTTGTCTTCCAGCTCCATCTCACGTGCTCCCTGCTCAAAACCCCACACCTGTCAGTTCCCACTTTCATTTCTTCAGCCAGTCATTCAGCAGGTTTCTTGGTTACTCCCCACATGCTGGCACCTGAGGTCATGATGGTTAGCAAAACAGACACTATTCCTGCACTCACTGGGGACATGTCTAGTAGGGAATGACAGGTAAGTAAATAAAGGACAATTAAGTACACTGCAGTATGAACAGTTGTGGGAGAAGCACAGCTGGCGTGGGTATACCAAACAGTCTCCTAAACCAGCCTGCTGGTCAGGGAGGGCTTCCTGGAGGAGGTGTCGACTCAGTTGAAGAATGTGAAGCTGGGAAGTGGTAAATATTCCAGGCAGGGGGACTCAGGATTCAAAAACCAGAAGGGCAGAGTGGAGTGCAGAGCCTGTAGAACTGAACGCCACTGACTGATTGGAGGGCAGGGTGCCAATGGCAAATGCCTGGCCTGGTGTGGATGGCAGGGGCTTTGTGAGCTTTGTGAAGGAGGGTGGCATCACCTGAAAGGCCTTTACCCTTCCTCCCTGTTCACTCAAATCCTGCCTCCCCTAGCAGGGTCTGGCCATGTTGGGCAGGCCTGCCTGGGCCAGATATTCAAGCCTTTGAAGGAGAATGAACAGGGGCTTTGGGGGCTCCAACCCGGGACCAAGGGATAGAGGTACTGGGGCTGGGTTTGGGGGTCAGCTGGTGTTGGCATTGGGTTTGGGGGACTGGAATCAGGAGCAGGAGTCAAGTTTGGGGCCAACGGTGGGGTTGGGGTCTAGAACCTAAGTCCCGAGTTTGGGTTAGACTTAGAAGTTGGAGCTGAGATTTCAAGCCAGATTTGGGGTTGTATTTGGAGCTGGGATGAGAACTGGATTTGGAAATGGGGCTGGGGCTGGGGCTCAGACGGGCAGCAGGAGCTGGGGCAGGGATAGGAGCTGTGGCTGGAGTTGAGGCTAGGTTCTGAGGCTGGGGCGAAAGCCACACTGGGGTTGGAGCTGGGGGTGGGTTGGGGCCCAGGCTCTGGGACAGGTACACAACATTCCTCCTGCTGCCCAGGTCTGCGAATTTTTGTTCAGAGCCCTACAACAGCAGGCAGAGGCCCCTCCCTTCCCAAGAATGCCTCTGCCCAGTAGAAGGAGCAGTGCCACGTCAGCCAATCGGCTCAGGCCCAGCCTGGAAACAACACCTGTTAATCCCTCTCCCGCCAGGCTCACCTGAGCGCAGTTTAAGCAGGTGAAGCGTCTCCCCGGAAACGGAGCTGGAGCGCCCCACCTGCCCGGTCCTGTCTGCTCGGATCAGATCCAGCCCATCCAGGCCTCTCGTGAGTTCCCCACAGTCCCTGCCGTTTCCCTCTCCCCCACTTTCTCCCACTGGCCCTTCCCCTGCAAACCTCCATCCCAGCCCCAGCCTAGCCCTGGGTCTCAGCACACCTGTGCAAGCACTTTCGGAAAAGTGAAGTCACAGCCACAGGAATGCTGGACCTGACTCCACAGCCCCACCCACAGCCCCTCCCCCACTTGGGGGGGTCAGCACCAGCCCCGCCCACCCTGTGGGGCAGGGCAGCCCCCACAGAGGGTCTCCTGGAGGACAAATACCTCCCCAGGGTGTAACCTGTGCATGGCCACGTAGTCATATTCCTGAAGTGATCCAGGACCTAAGTCCTGTGTCCTCCTGGAATGGGAGGGGTAACATGGTGTTCATTTATTCAGAAAGCGCGCTTTGAGCATCTACACAGGCTCTAGGCCACATTGGAATTCTGAAACAAAGATGTCAAATGACTCAAACCCCCTCCCCAAGATAAATGTTCTTGTCCTCACTTTTCAGATAAGGAGACTGAGGTTCTCAGAGATGAGCTCACTGGGAAACCCAGACCCTCTTGTGAGCCCCACACCCAGCACTAAAGGCAGGAACCAGCCCTGCTTGCTTCTGCCCCCTGCTGCAGCCTGGGGCTCCCAGAGCCCGCATGTCCCCGGCTGCTTCACTTTTGCCCTGCTGTCCTCCAGGACAGGTTAAATGAGCAACTGCTGTCACATACCTCGCCAAGCTCCCACCAATGGGAAGGATGGGGGTGGGGTTCAACTCCAGAGCCCTCCTTTCTCCTTCCTCACTTTAGGGAAAGCATGGAGGAGGTTGGTAGGGGGTGTGGGGGTGGAGAAGAGAGGGGCGAGCAGGGGTGTAGGGGGCAAGGAGGCAGGAGCAGTGGGAGGAGAGCTGGGAACTGCATGGAGAAATGCCGGAGGTAGACTTCCGGGATGGGAAGGGCCTGGCCGAGGTGGATTAGCTGCCAGAAGGGAGGAGGAGTCCAGTGGTGGCTGAGAGTGTGGTGATGTCTTGTGTGCCTGAAGTGAGGAACACAGGAGGAAGAGCAGGACATGCGGGCTCTGGGAGCCCCAGGCTGCAGCAGGGGGCAGAAGCAAGCAGGGCTGGTTCCTGCCTTTAGTGCTGGGTGTGGGGCTCACAAGAGGGTCTGGGTTTCCCAGTGAGCTCATCTCTGAGTACGATGACGAGCTTGGGTTGGGACCTGTTGCATCAGGGGTGACTGTGGGACATCAAGGTAACAATTGACCAGGGAGATCAGGCTGGAGAGACACGGATTTGGGCACCAGCAGTTTATAGCACCAAACTCAGGCTGTAAGATTGGTCAGGATGTCGGGGGCGTGACAGAGTCCGATCCTAAACCACAAAGGAGGAGACAGCCTAAGAGAGAAGATGCAGGGCCAGGCTTCTGGTTCCAGAAGGGTTAAGTCATAAGCCCCTGTCCCTCCCCACAGCTCCCCCCAGGAACCAGCAGTGACAGCTGAGGCCATGTGAGTAGGTCCTGAATGAGGCTTTATCTCTGGCTGTTCGTCCCATCGTCCACCGTGGCACCAGCTCCCTTGGCCAGCCGGGATGGGACAGGCGACTGGGAGAGCCAGAGCCAGAGAGGTCAGGGCCGGCAAGGGGATTCCCCAAAGGGTGCTGGGGGACTGTGGCGGGGCAACTCTCCTGGGGTCACAGGAGAGGCTTTCCCAAGGGACAAAGCTGGGGAGGGGCTTTCCTGGGGGGATTCCAGGGGACATGGGGAGGATTCTCAGGGGTCACCTGCAAGGCTCCCAGGTGCAACCATGATGCACAGGTGACTGGGGAGGTAAGACTGTGATTCTTCCCCTGCAGGTGATGGGGACCACAGCCTGCACTGCAAGAGGAACGGGACTCTGGGCCTGTAGCTACCAAGCAGGTCGTGGGGGCACCAGGCCATGAACTGCACCCTCTGACCCCTGACTCTGCCCTCTGCCCTGACGGCTGCCTGAGCACGCCATGTCTGAACAGGCGGCCCAAGCCCGGGGGTCGCAGGGGCTGCCCCCGGATGTGCTGGCGGAGCAGGTGGAGCTGTGGTGGTCCCAGCAGCCGCGGCGCTCGGCGCTCTGCTTCGCCGTGGCTGTGTGCCTCGTGGCGGGCTGTGGGGCAGGTGGCGTGGTCCTGCTGTCGTCCACCAGCAGCCGCTCGGGCGAGTGGCGCCTAGCGACCGGCACCGTGCTCTGCCTGCTGGCCCTGCTGGTTCTGGTCAAGCAGCTGATGAGCTCGGCCGTGCAGGACATGAACTGCATACGCCAGGCCCACCATGTGGCCCTGCTGCGCAGCGGCGGAGGGGCTGATGCCCTCGTGGTGCTGCTCAGCGGCCTGGTGCTGCTGGTCACCGGCCTGACCCTGGCGGGACTGGCCGCTGCCCCAGCCCCTGCTCGGCCCCTGGCTGCCATGCTGTCGGTGGGCATCACTCTGGCTGCCTTGGGCTCGCTCTTGCTGCTGGGCTTGCTGCTGTATCAGGTGGGCGTGAGCGGACACTGCGCCTCCATCTGTACAGCCGCCCCCACCCACGGGGGCCACGGCGGCAATGGCAGCATCTTCAGCATCTCAGGACAGTTGTCAGCTGGCCAGCGTCACGAGACCACATCCAGCATTGCCAACCTCATCTGACAGAGCCAGAGCCCTTCCCCCCACCTGCCTCAGCGACCCCAGAATCGTGCCAGGTGTGTGTGTGTGTGGTGCATGTGTGCATACGTGTGTGGCTAGGCGTGCCCAGGGTGCGGCAGCCCTTGGTGGGACTGTGTAATGTGTGATTAAGAGCCCGCGTGCTCCCACACATCTGCACCCCGGGAAGGGTAGTGTGTGCCTCCTTGGAATTGAGTATTTGTGTCCATGGAACGGCCCTTCTGTGTCTGGGACCCCTGTTTCCAGCACCCCTCAAACCCTGTCCAGCAGCCACCAAGGATTTCCACAGGGGTGACTATTGCCCACTCGAGACGGCACAGGGACCACTCATCGGGGAGAGTAACTGGTGGCAGAGTGGGAGGAACGGGGGCTCTGGAACAGGACAGACCTAGCACGGCCTCCCCCCGGAGCACTCCGCAGCTGGGGTTCTGGGGCAAGCGACCGAACCTCTCTAGCCGCAGGTGCTTGTGGTTAGTGGTTGTGGTCACAGACTGTGAGGATGAAGCGTCATGTGTGTGGAAGAACTGGACTCATGCAGATGTGCAATAAAACGGTGGCTGCTACTGTCTTGTCATCACCTCACCGTCTCACCCCAGAGACCCCCCCCCCCCGCCCCGGCCCCACCTGTCCAAAGTGAGCCCTTTGCTCCTGTCCCAGCCTTATAAACAGCACCACAGAGGTCCCCTCAGCCAGGCCAGGCACTGGAGGGGAGCGGGCTGAGTAGATGCTGAGCTTCGGGTAGGTGGAGGGTTTGCAGTCCCAGGGAGGTGGTGCAGGGACCTGAGTCCTTCGTGTTTGCTCCCTCACGGGTTCAGGACGAGGTCGTCAGTACTGGGCTGTCCGGAGCTGGTCTCTCTGAAGACTGCTCCTCCCTCTCACTGCGTCCCTTCAGCTGATTCCCTGCAGCTCCCCACCCCACCCCTGAAACCAGCACGTCCTGTGTCTGTGCAGTGGCTGCACCAGCTGGCCCGCTTCTGGGCTCCTGGGCTGGTAAGAGTCACTTCCTGCTTGGAGTCAGCCGTGGAAGGGAGCTCCCCTTCTGTGGTGTGCAGTTACATTTCCTGGGTGGCAACAATAAAGTTCCACTGGAAGCAGTGCTCAAGTTACTCTGTCATCACTTCCTGCTTTGCGAGGCGCAGGTTGCACGGGGCTGGGGCCCCGTGGAAGAAGACACCCAGAGAGGCAGGCGGGGAAAGGAGACCCGCCTCCAAAGAGACTACCCTAGAGCTACCAAGGCTTTGACTAGAAACGATTGCTTTCAGCAGGCAAGGTCGAGGATGTCTCCTTGAGAAAATGCTGGGCTGGCAGTGAGGGCAAAGGTGTCGCAAACTGAGGGAGGGAGCAGCGGGAGGAGACCAGAACGCCAAGGACACGCCTCTCCCTGGGGGTTCCGTGGGCGACTCTGCTCAGCATATTCAAAATCTTGCTTCTCTCATCTGGAACTAACTGGCTCCTCTGTCCCGTCTGGAGGTGCCACCGCTCAGCAGGCATCCAGGTGAGAAACCTCAGGTGACCCAAGACAGCCACGGCAGCTTCACTCTCTCTATACCCAAGTCCAATAGCAAATCTCCAGCTCCTGTGGCTCCCCTCGCAGACACTGAATCCATGTTTTCATACCCACTGCCTCGCAGGGACCCTCTGTCTTCGCTTGACTCACACACTGTCCTCCTTACTCTTCTCCCTGCGTTTGCTCCCTTCCCCTCTCAGATCCCCTTCTCCCAGCCCCGCCCCCACTCACACACGCTTGAGCCAGAGGGATCATCCTAAAAACGAAAATGAAAATCTACCTTAAAACCTCCCAGTGGCTCCCCACCTCTCACGGCTCCCGGACACAGTTTGGTCTCACTCTCCCCACAAAGCCCCCCACGAGCCACGAACTTGCCATGTCCTCTCACTTCCTCAGATGTTCTGTTCTCTTTGCCTTCTGTTCTCCACATCCTCTGGGGCATCTTCCCTGACCCTCTCCCCCTAAACTCCTGAGCTGCCCCTGCCTGTGCCGTGACACCCTGCATGGTGGCTCCCATCTGCGGCTCTCTCTCTGCGTGCCCGTCTCCCCATCAGGAGGGGAGCTCCTCCCACAGGGTCTGCGCCCACTTCTCTGTGCACCCCTAGTTCCTGGCACGAGCCCCCCACACAGTCAGTGCTTTGTTGGATGGGGGAAGAAGAATTCCCGCTTGGCCAGCAGGCAGGTGTGTGCAAGGGGCAGGGAGAGACCCTCTGTAACTTGGGGGGGGGGGTGTAGTTAGGCCACTACCCATGTTTCCCAGAATCTTTTGCCCCCGCCCCGGGCCCTGTGCTCTCTACCCCAGAAGTTCATTCTTCCTGGATTCCCAAAGGGATCTCTCACTATGAGCACCTCCTCCGTGGCTGTTAGAGGACCACAGAATGCCCTTCTATCCTATAGGATAGGGAGAAATTCCTTTTCCTTTCATCCGAGACAAGGTCACACTCTTTCACGATTCTCACAATATTTCTTTTCTAAAGGAAAACAGATGCACAGAACCTAGAAGGTGGGGAGGGGGAGTGTTAGCATAAACCCCTGATGGAGCAGCTGCCGAGGGCAGGGCCGGCGCCAGCCTCTCCTGGGACGGTGTGAGGCTGAGGTGAGGGCTTAGCCCGCAGGGTAGTGGCAGTCGGCACCTGCACGCCCAACTCTAACAGGAGACTGGTGACGGTGCGAGCCGGGTGGAGGCACAGGCCAGGCAGAGATGCGTCCACTCCTCAGTCCCCAAAGCAGACTTCCCACCACTTCTGCCTTCCGATAGTGCAAACTGTTTCTCTAAAGCCCTCCTCTGTCTACGTGGCAACCAGCGGCCTACCAGCCTCTCTGCTCGCTCCCTCTACTGCTGCCCCTGCTGTCTTCACCCCCTACTATCCAGCTAAACTTCTGCATCTCATCACTCACCCAGCGGAGGAATTTGGACTTTGTCCTGAGGAACTGAAAAACATGGAAAGATTTTAACCAGGGAAGGAGAGTCCTGTGGCCAGATAGGATTTGGGACTTGGTGGCTGCTCTGTGGAGCTGGAGATTGGCCTTAGAAAAAGAAGAAGAAATGGCCAAACAAAAGCCCATCTTGGCTGGCCACTGAGGGATGAGAAGTTGCCAAGCTAGCAAGGGTGGGAAGAGTATCCCAGAAAGAAGGAATAGCATGAAGAAGGGGCCATACCCTGAAATCTAAACTGGTATTGAACGAAGAGAAAAGGTGAGAGGGGGCTAATGGGGAGACAGGGAGAATGGCCTGGACCTAGAGGCTCCCATCAGGTGGCAGGTGAAGTGTAGAGAAAGTTGACACATGTCCCTCCTGGGCTTAACGGTCAAACTCCAGGTTCTCAGCTGTGTCACCTGCATGTCTGAGAAGAACACTTTCTAGAAACTGCCAAATCTGGGCCAGTCCAGGTGGTCCTCACATGATATCCAGTCACATCCCACAAGACACCTGGGCTTTCTGGGGACGCTCAAGTTTCCCTTGAGGAGCTTCCTCCAGGCCCCAGGGGATCTGCACATGTCCCCTCATGTCCCGATTCCTGCACAAGGACAGGGGCTGCCTTCCTGATTCTTCTCCAGGGGACCTGTGAGACTCCCCTGGGCATAGCCTTGGCAGTCACCCCAGGAATGGGCCACAGATGCTGAGGGCCAGGCCCAGACACCAACAAGACCCTCCGGCTCTGCCCTCATGGCATGCTCCCCAGGACTGGAGCCTGCACCCTGAAACTCCTCAGCCCCATTCGCTGGGGGAGGGAGGAGCCAGCCCAAGCAAGATGGGAGCGACTCCAACAAGCAAGAAGTTCCTCTCGGAGTCTGTTTTATCATTTCTTCATGGTGAGGTCATGGCATTATTGCTGGGTGAAGTAGGCACATTGCAGTTAACTTGCTTGAGCTGCATCTCGATCTACAAAAGGGGCTGCCCAGCAGGACTGTTAGAAGAAAGTGCTAGAACAACATCAGTGCCTTAGAACACTAATGATAGTGTCATTTGTGTTGCTATTATATTCTTCTGCATCAGAGATTCTAATTCTAATCCTTTGCTCTCCTGACCAGATCCTGCCATCCGAGTCCTGAGAAACAGAGATGGTCAAATCCCCAGCCAGGAAGTGAATGAGGAAGGAGGCGGCTTGGCAACTCCTCCCTCAGGATTAACACTGGTTACCCCTTGCAGGTACCCAGTGCCCTGGGGGTGCCCGTAGGGACATAACTAACACTTGCTCTGTTCCATCTTGCATAGAAACTCATTTACTCCTGCTAACGCCCATAGGAGGTAAGTGATGTTAGGATCCCCATTTTACTGAGAGGTTGGAGCACTGAGGGGCTAAGTAACTTGCCCAAGGCCACACAGCATGTACATGGCAGAGCTGGGGTTTGAATCCAAGTAACTTGTGCTCTCAACTCACTTCCCCACTCCACCAGAACTCTGTGGGAATTTCTGTGCCCTTCACCCAGGGTAAGGGACACGGCCTTGTCCTTGGAGGCCTCAGGCCAAGGCAGCAGGTGTCTGGATTGACCCCCATGGTCAGTCTGGGTTTCGGTTCCCAGGGCAGAGTAGGCAGTAGCAGCTGCTGGGGAGTAGGGGACAAGGTGTAGGCCCAGGCTGGGCCTGATGCTGGAGAGGCCAGACCAGAGAGGGCCTGGCCGAATCACAGGCCCCCGCGCCTCTTTGCGTCTGGGCGAGGCATGCGGAACACAGACCACAGTGGGAAAGAGTCCTCCAATCACAGGAGGTCTTGAAGGACAGGGTCCAGGGTTCTTGTGACTCCAGGCCCCTGCTCAACCCACTGTAGGTTCTGAGAAGAAGCCCCAGCTGTGGACCCTTGTGTGTACAGGCTCAGGAGGAGCAATGGCTGATCTGGGATCCGGCCCTTACTCTCTCCTGGATCCCTCAGAGGCCTGGACTCGGTCCCAAAGAGTACGTGGAAACAGGGACAGCTGAGCTGCTCCTGGCACAGAGCGGCATGTGGGGCAGCCTCTCTGTGCAGGGGGATCGAGGGAGCCTGAGGGCAGGGGTGAAGCTTCTCCTATGTACATGCTCTCAGCCCTTAGGTCTGCAGCCGGGCAGCCTCTGCTCCTCCCACGCCTGCCAAGGTCAGACCCTCTCTGGACTCAGGAACCACTGCCAGCCTGGGGCTCAGTGAGCCGGGCTCCCCTCCTCTCTGGCTGCTTCCTCGCAGGCTCCTCTGCTGATACTCCCTGCATGTCCCCCACTGGGTCCTCAACACCTCCTCCCGGTCTGCCCTGCCCTGGAGATTTCATCCACTCCTGCCCCCAGTGACCCGAATGCTGAGTGTTCCCAAACCCATGTCACCGGCCTGGACTTCTCTCCTGGGAACCCGGCTGTCCCTGGGCACCTCCCCGTGGAAATCCTGCATCCAACATTAAAGCTCCATTCCCCCAGCCTGCTCTTCCTCAGTGCACCCCCCCACCCCCCCAGAAGCCGGGGCAGCTTTGTTGATGCCTGCCTACTCCCCAAATCCAAAGTCAACTCTGCCTCCCTCCCGTCCCTGGAGTCCCTGTTTCCATGCCGCACCTTAATCAGGTCTTACCACCTCCTCCCTGTCTGTCCTCTCCCATCCCTCACTGCACGGCAGCCAGAAGGACTTCCCCGTTATGATCACGATACTCCCTTGCCACAGACGAGCCTCAGCTCAGGCTAAAGTGTGAGCTCTGTGTCTTGGCACCCAAGGCCCTCACCAATCCAGCCCACCCCTGGGCTTCCTCACTGTCGTGGGCACCCCTTACCCCCTGCCTCTTCCTCAAGCACCTCTCCCTGTTAGCCATCACAGACTCACCTTCTCTGCTGGCTCCTTCCTCAAAAGCTGAAACCACATGCAGGAGAACACACGTGGGGTGGCCGCCTGGCTTACAAGGACTGCCCCTTGTCTGGGAATGACCTTCAACAAATGAGCAGGCTCCCCAAACCACGGATGTGCCGTGTTCCCAAACCCCCTTGGCTGCTTGGACCAGTGGTGGGTACTTGACCCAAACTGGGCCAAACAGATTCTCTCCCTGAGAACTGGAAACTTGGAATCCAGAGTTTGGGAGTCCTATGCCCCTAAGTGACAGAGCGCTAGAGGTACAACGCCTGGCCTCTGGCTGCTGGGACCACCTGGCTTCCTGCCCTCCCAAGTCACTGTCCTTTGATTCCACGCAGCAGCCAGGATTTTCCCCAAAACTCCTTGTGTTGCTTGCAAATAGAAAGCAGCTTAACTCAAGCGTCTCCCACCTTAAACCTACCTCCCTTGCTCAGTTTCCCCACCAGCTGCTAGGACCCTGTGCTCCTCCTCTTCATCAAGACTCGTAAAGTCTTCCACATCAGACTCCACTTCCTCACCTTTCATCATTCCCTCTCGGCCCACAGTGAGTCAGACTATTTATTTGGCATCTGCCTTGTGCAGGAACCTGAGGATACAGAACAAGAACAGCCGGGGACCCCAGAGAGCTGTCTGGCTGTGCGGACAGGTGCAGCAAGGGGTAAGTGCACATTATAATAAAGATTAAAATAAAATGTGGCCAGGACTCACAGCGTGTTATTAGAGGAATGGGCTCATGTCCCTGGAGGAGGGAACATGTGAGCGGTGTCTACCGCTATGAGTGGTAAGTTTCAGTTCAGGAAAAGTAAAAATGAGCTATGACTTTTTATTCAAAATGAAAATACGTTTATTAATCCCTGTGAAAAACATAATATATTATAACCAGAATACCCACTTCATTGATAGGAAAAAATTTCATTAAGGAGCTTGGCACTGGTTTTCACCTGCTCACATGTTATCACCTGGGCACATTTGAAATGCTGGCAAGTAGGCAGGCCACATGGGGCCTACTACTGGGGTTTTCGTCACTGTCACAGAGTTTTTAGGCAAAGGGACAATGTGAACAGAGGTGCATGGAGAAACTGCATGGGGTGGCAGGTGGGGAATGACAAACATTTAGTCACATAGGGAGAGGCAAGGAAGGAAATCAAGAGGGCGGATCACAGAGTGACTTTTTCCATGCCCAAGCCTTGGTTGGGCTTTGTCCTGAGAACAGCAGGGAGCCATTGAGGGTTATTGAGCAAGAGAGAAGTCATTGTTACTTTGGTGGCTAGTGTCAGGGAAGGAAGGATTGCTCTAACCCTGGTCAACCTTTAAGCCCTCTGCCTCTGTCCCTGAGACTCAAGGCTCCCACATAGAAGCCACTGTCCTTAAGCTGTCAGGCATGGAGGGAGGGGGCAATGTCCAAAGATTGGGGCTCAGAGGGAGAAGTGTTCCCTGCTACCCTCTGTCCCCAGCTCGCCAGCTCCAGGCTGAATATAATTGTCCTCAATGAAGCCGTCATCATCATCTTCGACCAACTCTGGGCGGTTCCCCCTCCCTGTCTCAGCCAGTGGGCGGTGCCGATAGCTGGCATAGTACCGGCGACAGAGGTGGCATTTGGCAGCAAGTGCGATGAGCAGAGAGAGGACCACAGCCCCCAGCACAACCCCGACCAGCACCGGCCATGCCCGGGCCCCAGTGCCTGGTCCAGGGGCTGTGGCTGATGCCGTGGGGAGCTCCGAGGTCCCCGTGATGGCTGCAGAGAAAGGGATAGCATTATGTGTGAGCCTCAGATGGGGCTCTCTGGGGACACCAAGAGGAGTGCAGGCAGGGTCCTTGCCACCAAGCCCAGCATCTAAGGGGAGCCTCCCCAGTCACCGCCCCATGGTCACTCACTGTGGTTTGGCTCAGTCATGGAGAAGCCTGACGCTGCTGGTGAACCTCGGCCTCCACCAGAAAGAGCCCGGCTCCAAGGAGACGCCCCAGATGCCAGGCAGCCCCAGGGCAGTCCTGGAAAACACACATATGTGTAGGTGTCAGGGATGGCTGCAGGGTGCACACTCCAGGTCACACTCACAGCCATGTCAGTGCTGCACAAATGCTGGGCGTGGCAGAGCAGGCCACACCAGTGTCCACAGAAGAGAAACAAGCTGAGCTCACAGCAACTGTCCACCTATAAGGGACAGTTGCAGAGTCCGGCTCTAGAAGATACTAAAAAAATAAATAAATTCTAGAACTTACTGAGCACTCTTTATGATTCAGGCACCAGGCTCATAAAACCCTGTAATGTGGGTATAAGCATGACCCCCTCTTTGCAGATGAGGGCTCTAAGGCCAAGGATGGTGAACTGACTCAACCAAAGCCCCCAGCCTGCTGCACTGCTTGGCAAGCTAAGGACAGGAGATGGGGCAGAGGTGGCTCCCCAGCCAAAGTGGAGACCACACATGGGGAGGAGGATGCACGTCCCCACCCAGGGCAGGGGCCTTTCTATTCCTGAGTGGGAGCCACTGCTACTCCACCTCAAATCCCTGTCCATCCACCTCTACCAACAGGATGCCCACTCTCTGCCCCCAGAGGGAGGCTCGAGCCAGGAAGCATCCACACAAGCATCACCTGAACCAGGAAATTACCTGGATGGGAATCCCCAGGGCCAGGACACCTAGAGGAAGAACACCTGGATTAGGGGAGTAGCACGAGGAAGATCCTCTAGGCTTGGGAACACCTGGAGGAGCAGCACCTGAATCAAAGGTGTGTCTGAGGAGGCACACCTGAATCTGGGCAGTCTCTAGAGGAAGAGCAGCAGCGTTGGGGACATACCTGGGGGAGGAGCAGCTAGGGCTGGAGAGTATCTGCAGGAGGAGCACCTGACTCTAGGGAGTCACTGGGGTCAGAGTAGCCAGGCTAGAGGAGTGCCTAGGAGAGAAGCACCTAGTTGAGGGGAGTATCTGTCATATTTGTTGACACAGATACCTTAAAGACACCCTCGCTCCTCACGTCCAAGCTGGTGTCAAGCCCTATCAGTTCTTCCTCTAAATATCACTGGAACGACTCTGCCCCCCCACCACTGCCACTGCTGAGTCCAAGCCACCTTCACCTTGGACCTCGACTCTAGCCAGTATCTCCCACCGGTCTCTCCCCACCTCTACTCTGTTCCCCAGAGTGATGGGTTGAAAGTCCAAATCTGCCCCCATCACTTGCCTGTTTAAAACTCCTTCAAGAGCCCCCCACACCCTCAGTGCTGCCTGCAGACTCCTCCTTGCGCCCCTCAAGCCTTGCAAGCCAGCACGTGGTCCTCGGGCCAAACCCTCCCCCTCTTCCCTGCTTCTCCCTCCCCCACACCCAGACTCACCCACCCCTCTCTTCCCCGCCATTCCCTTTCTCTGCGTTTGGGACCCCTGCCCATCACGGCCAAATCAGACCATACTTGCCCATGAGGTTGTCCCAGGGTCCCCCACCCCAGGTGACCCCACACTGTCCTGCCCAGTCTGCCATCAGTCAGAACTGGCAATTGCCAGGCGGGCAGCTCCCCGAGGGCCAGGCCTGGCTGATGAATCTGTGCCCTGGTGCCCCACGGAGCTGGGCACGCTCAGAGCTACTCTGCTCAGAGCTACTCGTGTGACGTGCAAGATGGGGGGGGCGCCCTAGGAAGGTGCCGTCAACAGCTCACTCGTTCATTAGCCTACTGTGGGCACTGGGTCCTCAGAAAATGACAATTTGTTCAATTGGAATGAACTGAATTCAATTTGATGTTTCTAAGACTTTACTCCTCCCTGCCCTGGCCCTGGGAATTCTCCCCAAGGACACACACACACATACAAACACACACACATACAAACACACACACACCATAGCCTCCCAAGGGCACATATCTACTCCCCAAGACGCCTCTGAACGCACAGCCCACACTGAGCTGCCCGTCCCCCTACACACACACACACACACACACACACACACACACACACAGACGTCACGCCACCACCTCAGGTCACACTTTCCTCCACTAACAAGCGCACGCCTGTTCTGTTCTGTACCTCTTTCCTGCTGCCAGGAGCCCCTGGGGATCTTGCAGAGCCTGGGGACCCCCTCGCAGCCCCCCACTAGCTTCCCCCTCTGCTCCCACCTTCAGGAACTGTACACAGTCCGTGGAGGAAGCTTCCGGCTGGGGCCGGCAGAACCTGGATCGGTGGGCGGGCCAGAGCGGCCACTTGACTCACCTGGGGAGGCAGCGGGCGGGGCGAGCTGCAGGGGGTCGGAGGCGGGGCAGCGGGCAGTGCTTCCAACCGGGAGGGCTCTTTCTGCATCTTCCCAGGCTTTTGCCTAGAACTTTACCAGCTCAGGCCTCAACCCAACCCCGTGCTGGGGGTGACACAGCTGGGATCCAGAGAGGGGTTCAGTGGGCCCTAGAAGGTGCAGACCCCGCAGCACACAGCTGCTCAGGCTAGTGGCCCCAATAAACAAGTGGATTTCCGGTGACAGGTCCAAAGTCCAGAGTTGCAGGGAGCTTTGCAGGCCTGTGAAGGCGGTGAGCTGGAACCAGAGGGAAGGGAGGGCATTCTTCCCAGGCAAGCCAGAGGGACTAAGGACACTCCAAAATTGCCTGCAAAGGTGTGTGTGTATGTGTGTGTGTGTGTGTGTGTGTTCATCTGGACCTCAATGATCTTGTGACTCCACTAGCCAGACTCTGAACCTCTCCCGTGGTGCTCCCTGACTCCCTGTTGCCTCCCTGTCAGTCCCTGAGCCTGGCGCCTCCTTGTCCTTCAACACCCAGTTCAGGAGTCACCTTCCCTGAGCCTTCTACCTACAAGCCCCGCCTACCGCAGCACTTCTCTAGGGATCTTGTGATCATTTCTTCCCGGACTGCCTCCCCGCCTCCTGCCCCCACGCCCGCCCACTTAGCCTGGGAGCTCTCCCAGGGCAAGGCCAGGCTTTGACAGCCTCTGGGCTCCCAGCACCCAGCACAGTGCCTGCCCCGGCTCGGTCCTAGAGGCACTGGAATTCACAGGGACCTGCAGGGCACGGCTGGAGCCAGGGCTGCGGAGAGGGATTGCAGGTGGGGCGTGGTAGAACCAGCTGCAAGGTGGAGGTAGGGTCATGCATGGCCTGGAATATCTTAGGACAGAGTCTGAACGCTCACCACCAATGACCCTTTCCACCTCTGCCACCTTGCCTGGGCAACACCTTCACCCTCTGTTCCAGCCACGCCAGACTGTTTTCTCTTCTATTCCCTGGCCTCCCAAGCTTTGCAGGCCCTGCCCCTACAGAAGACAATAAGTAAAGGCTCTGCACATCCATCATTCAGTCATTTATTCAATGAATATTTTTTGAATGCCCACCACCGAGTCACAGCCAGCCCACGTGGCACACATTGCAAATCAGTGTAATTGCAAATCAGCAAATCATTGCAAATTGGCTATATCAGTTCCCACCGGCTCCTCAGCCTGGAGCTCTGGTGCAGTGAACAGCCTTTACAACCCTCTGTAGCAACCCAGGCAACCATGTGGTAGGCTCTGTGCTAACTATTGGGGGCAGACTTTGTACCCCCATAAAGCTTTCCTTCTGGTGGGGAAGAAGATGGATAATACACAAGTAAAGAAATAAATACGATTATTTCAGATAACGGTGAGTGCTATGAAGAAAGTAAAATAGCTTTACAATAGCTTCATGGGAGCATCAGAAGAGACTGCTACTTCAGATGGAAAACGAGGGAGCTCACTGAAGAGGGCACGTTTGAGCTGAGATCTGGGTAAGGATAAGACAGTGATTGTGCCAGTACCTAGGGGAAGAGTGTTGCAGGCGAAGGGAATGGCACCTAGGCACAGACACCTACCTGGATGGAGTGCAAAAAGGGGAGGTGAGTCAGGAGCCACCTGTGGGACCTCAGGGTTGGGGGAGTCTTTGCCTGGGAAGGGAAGCCATTGGTCGCGTGGGCAAAGGACCGATCTTACATTTCAAAGGGATCGCTGTGTCTTCAGTGTACAGAATGGACTCTCGGAGGCCCAGGTAGAAGCTGGGAGGCCAGTTAGACGGTGTCACCAACCATCCAGGGGAGAGGACACATGGCATCAGGGAAGTCAGGAGGCGGGAGAAGTGCGCAGATTCCAGGTAAGTTGTAACGGTGAAGCTGACACAATTTGCTGATTAGATGTGGGTTTGCGATAAGGAAGGAAATCAGGAATAATTCCAAGTGGTGGCCTAAGCCACTGGAAGATGAGAGCTGTCATTTAGTGAAGTGGGAAGACTCTGGGAGAGGACCTGGGAACTCAGACACCTGGGAGACATCCACGCGTCACGCGGAGCAGGCAGAGGGGAGACCAGCCTGGATGCAGTGGGAGGTGGGGAATACGCATTTGGGAACCAGAAAAATGTGGGTGGCTTTTAAAGCCAGGATCTGGTGGGGATCCCCAGGGAGCAGTGTGGAGAGAGAAGCAGAGCCCTGGAATATGCAGGAGTAGAGGCTGGGTGGCGAGGAAAAGCAGGAAAGGAGAGTGAGGAGGGCATTGAGGCTGGAGGCAAACACTGAGACAGCGTCCTGGGCAGAGAGGACAGCTTTCCAAAGGCGAGGGCCTGGTTTGCCATTAGCCAACTGCTGCAGGCAGCTCAGAGAAGATATGGACTAGAATTGACCTTGGAAACTGGCCAAGTGGAGGTCACTGGTGACCTAGACAAGAGTGGTTTCAAGAGACATGACAGCATATTGGGGACAAACTCCCAAGTGGAGACCCAGGTGTATGGGAGCAGAGGAAGTGGAGGCTACTCCTCCAAGGAGTTTTGCAGAAAAAGGAGCAGAGAAATGGGGCAGACACTAGGGAGAGGGTGGGACCCAGGCAAGGAGCTATGAGACCATGGTCCGTTGGGGGCCTGCATCTTTTCCTCTGCCAGCCACTCCAAGTGCGGGGCCGGCGATTTGCCAGGCAGAAAGGATCAAGCAAGAGGGGGCCAGGGAGCCAGCTGCGGGCAAGGGCGTGGTTGCCATGAGCAACCGTGGGACCCTCCCCAGCGCACAGAAGGCAAGGGGAACTGGAAAGGTGGTAAGGTCCCTGGATTTCAGGATGGACTGCTGGTGGCCTAGACAGGACGAAGGGAGAAAACAGGACATGCTGGGCAGATGTCGCCACATGGCAATGGAAGTTCCCTGCGGGATGCAGTTCTTGATGAAGTCCCAGCATTTGAACCATGGGGTGACCTGGAAGCAGGGGCTACAGACCAAAGGTGGTTTTTCTCTTATCTGAAGCATGTGATTAACTCAGCCTTCTGAAGCAGAGGTCCAAGGATGGCATTCTAAGAGCCCTGTTAATGAGCAACAGAGCTAGGATTCAACCTAGGCTTCTGACCCCACATCCAGAACCTTTTTAGTTACATCCCAGCTACACCCCTCTGCTCCTAGGAGTACAGGTGCCCATCAAAGTGTTCAATTCCTCACAATCATTCTGAATGACAGATAAGCAATCACCTTCCTTTCAAATATGGGGTTGTATTTCCCAAAGGAAGCTCAGGGCGCTGCTACCAGACAGCCAGGAATGGATGCTGAACAAGCCAAGAGCCGGGCGCCCCGTCCCCACCCCACCCTGCCCGCAGCAGACAGGACTTCCAGCCGGGGCCTCCGCCTTGGGGTGGCTGCAGAGCCCCTTTGAGAAGCCGAGCAGAGCAGGAAGACACGTGTGCACACCAGTCGCCATTCTCGAATGTGCTCACAGGCCTGCCCTGATAGATGCTCAAGAAAAACTTGGGTGGACGCATGGTTAGTTCCAGGGGCTCACTGGCTCACTCCAGGTTAGAGCTGGTGTTAACCCTGTTCACTCTGCTCTATTGTAGACAAACAACCCTGGTAGATAGGTAGAGAGCACTTTCTCTCTACAAGCCTCTAGAGGAGGCTGCCCGCCTCCCATGCTTCCGGCCACTTCCAGCCACTTCCAGCCTTCCAGAGAGGAGTCAGCACCTCCTTGGGACTTAGAAGCGTCCTTAGGGGGACACCACACTCTTCCTCCGCTGCTCAGCCTCCACCTCCCCGGAGGGTGCCTTTCCCCACTCCTGGTCTGCCCTCGCTGACCTCCCAGACGTGCCCAGCATCTGAAGCACCCCTGCGGTCCCACAGGGGACGTGGCCTGAAGCTTGGAGAAAACAAGCCCTCCGACCCAGTTACCCTAAGAAGTCACAGTTCACAGGGTAAGGTCACAGCATATGTCCTCAGTGGAGCTTCCCAGGAGGCCTGAAACCAGGGTAAAGTTTCCTGATTGCAACTTCTAGGGTTTCCTCACTTCCCCAAGGGCGACAAGACTATCCAGGCCCAGAGCATCCCATGAGGCTCCCAGGGCGAGCTGACCAAGCCTCTTAGATACCAACCGCACCACCCTGAAACTCCGGTATAATTACCTCATAGAGTTGCCACATTGGATCCAGCATCCAGCTTCCTGAGACAATTTCCTCCCCGGCCACCAGCTCCAATCTGCCACATCAGATATACCAAGATAATCAGACACCACATATGCACGGGGGAAGGACGTAGCAGTCTATGGGCCCCGTGGTTCCTTATGTCTGGGTAGCCAGGTCTCGGAGGAACAAAGCCTGGCAGGCTTGGCAGGGACTACCACACCCTCTCCTGCGGATGTCACGTCCGTGCAAGTGGCCAGGGTGGTGGACCAGCGAGGCAGCTGCCCACCCCACTGCCTCTCTGGGCCCAGGCAATTCGAAGAGCCATCTCAGCCACATTCTTGCTTTCTCGTGGAAGCCCTGTTAGAAAGGGAAAAGTAGGAACTAGGTGCCCACCTGAGCCCCCAGGGGTGTTGGAGCAGTTCCAACGCAGAAATTCACTGGTGGCAGACACCACTTAGGCCTGGAAGGAGAGGTCTGTCCCCTGGGGGCAGGACGCCCACACCAGCGTGTTGTTGCAATAGCACACACTCAGTCCTCCGCTCCCCAGTTGGAACAAGTGTCCCTTCCTCACGGTGGGGGAGGGGTGGAGGTGGCAAAGTGCCTATATGGCTTGGGGAGAAGGGTTAAGAAAAGGGCGGAGTTGAGATGCTGCCTTCAAATCTTGCCTAATCCCGGTGTAAGCAAAGAAAGTAAATAAGGAGTGAGCCTAATGGACTTGTGTTGTCACTACCTCTTGTCCTCAAACCAACAATTAAAATAAGACTGAACAACCAGGAGGCAAGAGGAGGAGAGTGGCTCCTGTGAGGAGTGTGGCTGTGGCCCATGGTGGCAGCTGTCCCTCATAAAATGTGTTTTGTATGCTACGCAGGCTGCTATTGTTTGAGGCCGAAGGACAATGAGTCACTTGTGTCTAGTGCTACTGGGCGTGCTGCTGGTTCTAGGATTTCAGAGTGACCTGGGGTGAAGCAAGGACCTGGTGCACCTCAAAGGCAAGAGGCCCTTAGATCCGCGCCCGCCCATCTCTCCTGGTCTGTCCCCCGCCTTTCCAAAGGCCCTGCCCCGTCATAACATGCACGCTCCTTGTTTGTTCAGAATAAAATCTCTAATGCTTTCTGAGCACATGAGGACTGATTTCCTTAAATCATTTTTAAGAATTTGAGGGATGACAAGTGCAGACGATGGAAACCTCCCTGTGTACACCAGCAGAGACTTTTAACCGCTTCCTGCCTAGGTAACACAGTCCGATAGGCCAGTGCGTAGTTAAACTCTCTGGCTGTGGCTCTGACTGTCTGGGGTCAAAGCTGAGCTCCACCACTTTACTAACCTGAGGATGCATCAGTTTCCACGTCTGCAGAATGGAGATAATAGTAATAATAATGAAACTTATCTCAAAAGGGTGGGAGTCCATGAAGCGTAGCTAACACTTTTTCCTGGCCCCTGTAAATGTTTAATAATTGTTAGCCATTGTGATTGAGGTTGCTTGGTGTTCTAACAGTGCAAGACTGCATTTCTGAGTAATTTCATTCTGACCACGATAAATAAAAGTCTGTTATGCTTTAATAAGTCCTGAACTTCAAACTATCTGAACCCCGTGTGGGGCGTTGATTTCAGCTTCTGACCTCACAGGGCCAAATGGCCTTTGTCAATTAGTTTGTATAAAAGGGACTTCATTCAAAGCCTTGTTGAATTAACTGGGGCTTCCTTTAAATAAGGGCTTGTTTTTAGAAGCTTTCTTTTTCCAACAAGGAAAAGAACACAATGGGTTCCAAGTAATCTACTGTCCTCATCACAGCTTGTCACAAACACCTGGCACATCTTTTCAGACCAGAGTGAAAACACAAATACACACTAACTTGCTAACTTCAGGGACACAGCCTCAGCCTGATGTTCCAAAGCATTTGCTAATAAACTTCCTCTCACTACAGAGTTATTTCCTGGAAAAACAGCAAAAATTGTTTTTGAATTGACAAGATGGCTTTAGTTGTTGCTGAAGTTAAGTGAAAGTACCATTGTTACTATTAACCTAAAAAAAAATCTTAAAAGAATTACTTTTTTTTCTTTTGACAAGAAGAAAAAGATACTTTTCCTTTCTTTGCTGATCAATATGAAGAATGATTAATCAGTAAAGTCAATTGCAGGCAAAGACAGAACTGAGGAATCTAGTTAATGTGTTGCTTGTTTCAACCAAAAAAAAAAACACTTCATAATGTTGTTTGGGCAAAATTTACTTGGTTCTTCAAAAAGCAATTGTAACAAACAGTAGAGAGAGTTAAGGCATTTATGGGATATACAAAGACACCAGCATTTGCAATTGCAATAACAAAGAAATATCTTAAATACTTTGCAAAATATTCTAGGAGCCAAGACACAAGGGCATGCTTTAGGAGAACACAGGAATGTAATTTGGGAGGAAAATTGGAATTACCCATTTCCTTTAAAATCACTAAGCAAAACAAAGCAGCATTCAACTTCACATACTGACTTTACATAGTTTATATATAATAGTTCGACTTAAATCCAAGAAGCAAAGTTGTGACTCTTACTTTGTTTATTTTGAAAAATAATTGCATGGACACCCAGATAGTCCATCTCAACATGACAGGTTTACTTTGGAGGAGTCTCTGTTACTTAGAAGAGGACCAATTGGACACTTCAATTCAAACTGACCCTGAAGTCAGTTTTGGGGGGCAACTTGGAGAGATTCATTCTCTTCCCCCTGGTACAGCCTCTGTTGATCCATCCCTAAATTTCACCAGCTTTTTTGTGCATAATTTGCATAACAATTTCACCCGAATGGGTCTCAATTGCACCACCATTTCTGCAAGAAGACTGCAGACCTTGTCCACATAGAAAATTAAATCAAATCCATAGACATTTTCAAAAGAGTCTGTCAAATGTTTCCACATATATTCGAGGGATGTCTGGAAAGTATGCAGCCATACAACCATTCTCGTTATATTAATAATGGGTGGATACTTTCCAGACAGTCCTCGTAGTATATTTACACGTGGTCTAAAACCCTCAGGGAAGACTAAGAAGCCACATGGAGGACCAAAATGAATGTTGCAAGAGGTATAGATCAGTTTGTTCTCTAAGCCACCTATTAATAGAACCTGGGGAGTCAGGCTTTTCTGTCCCTCTTGAACATGAGGGTCCCGTGGAGAACAATGGGCCCAGCCCACTGAGGGGACCACAGAGGATGAGATTTTACTTTCCTAAAATGAAAGAAAAAGAAAATAGAATTTTCTGTTCCATTGTTGCATGGTTCTGGCTCATTCAGAAGCAAAAGAAAATATTGCTTTGACTGGCTTTCAGCTGAGCATGCCCCCCAAAATAGAACTTGATACCACCACAGCCTTTCAGCTTACCCAAATACAGATTGAACATCTCCAATCCAAAAATTTGAAATCCGAGATGCTCCAAATTCCAAAGATTTTTGAGTGCCGCTGTGATGCCTCAAGTGGAAAATTTCACACCTGACCTCATGTGACAGGTCACACACTTTATTGAAAATGTATAAAATTACCTTCAGGTTATGTGTATAAATAAATTTCATGTTTAGGATTGGGTCTTATCCTCGAGATACTACATTATGTATATGCAAATATTCCAAAATTTAAAAAAAAAAAAAAATCCAGAATCTGAAACACTCTGGTCCCAAACATTTCAGATAGAGGATACTCAACCTGCACAAGCAGTATGAATATATGAGGTCTGTCCTGAAAGTATCCAGCCACATAATATGAAAATGGAGACATTTATTGAAGAAGATACGAGAAACACTGTGCATAGGACAATGACACCTCAGTCCCCTTCAAAGTAGGCACCTCGGGACCCCACACAGTTCTCCCAGCATCTCTTAACCTAACCTGTACACGTTCAACATTCTCAGGTGTTCTGCTTGTTGCAGGCCTTCCAGAACGTGGATCACTTTCAACAGATTCTCAACCATCTTTGAAGCATTTGTGCCACATTTTTATTTGCTGTGCACTCATTGCATCATCCCCCAAAGCCTTCTGAAGCATCCAAATAGTTTCTGCGGAGGAATGTTCAGGCTTAACGCAAAATTTGATGTAGATTCATTGCTCTACTCGCTCAGCCATTTTGAATGCAATGGCCACACAGTACATGTGCTCACTCAACAGCGTCTAGCGCCCCACTGACTAGCACAGTCCACTCTCCTTGCCTGCCAGGTTACAGAGATGTTGCACAAACCATTCCTTGTTATATTCACAATGGCTAGATACTTTCCATACAGACCTTGGATATTCTTACTTTGTCCTTGCTTAGGCAAAAACTAACATACTATATATACTCTTCTGTGCCTTGTTTTTTTCACTTACTAATTAATGTGGCTTGGAGTGCTTTCGAAAATCAACATATAACCAGGTACAGTAGCTCACACCTGTAATCTCAGCACTTGGGAGACCGAGGCAGGAGAATCACTTGAGCCCAGGAGTTTGAGACCAACCTGGGCAACAGAGCGAGACCCTGACTCTTGAAAAAAAAAAAAATTATGGTTGGTCCGAGTGCAGTGGTGTTTACAACTAATTGATCGCAACCAGTTACAGATTCCTTTGTTCCCTCTCCACTCCCACTGCTCCACTTGACCAGCCTTAAAAAAAATAAAATTAAAAATTAAAAAAAAATCAGTGTATGGACTTAGAAAGTTTCTTCAACTATTTTCACAGCTGTATAATACAACATTTATTTAACCAGTTCCCTGTTGATTGACACAAACTGTTCCTAATCTTCTGTCATTACATATAATGCTATAATGAATAACCATGACATTTGGTATTATGCGACTATATCTGTAGGATAAATTCCCAAGGGTGCAATTGTGAGTCAAGGGTAAATGTATTTATGATTTTGACAGATATTCCCAAGTTGCCCTCGGTGGGAGTTATACCAACATGCGCTATATATGAGCATGACTACTTCACAACCTCACCAAGACAGGGTGTTATAAAACTCGTGGATTTCTGCCAAATTGATAGGTGAGAATGGTAGTTAGGAAGAATTTTATTTTTTTTTATTACTCTCACAGCGAGTGAGGTTGAGCATGTTAGGGGAACTTTTGTATTTATTTTTTTATAAACTTTTCATAATCATGAAACTATGTGTTAACCTTTTATCTTTTTCATAATCTTTGCCCATTTATCTATTGGATTTTATGAGGTTTTATTGCTTTCTAATCTGTAATATGAGTTACAAATATTTTTGACATTTGTCTCTTATTTTTTGCCTTTTAGATTTTTTATGTGTAGTAAATTTGATTAGATTTTCTTTTAAGGTATGTGAATTTTGAGTTTTACTAAGAAAGGTCCATCCAATCTAAAGGTACAAAAGAATGCATGATTTTCAACAAGGCCTGTGTTGGAAAGGCGCGGGGCAGAGTCCCTTCACCGCATGCCTTGTGTCCCAGTCTATGTCACGATACAGCGTGTTCTGGACGGTGAAGGGGAAAAGGAGCATATCCTCAGAGACGACCCTCCCCAACACCTGTGGGACTTCTCCCGTGACCTTAATTTCCTTGCCACTTAACCTGCCACACCACAGACTCAATTCAGACCTCAGTCGTGACATCAGCCACCTACACCCCAGCCCTCTTTGTCCGTTACCCCACTAGACGAGCACCACTCAAAATGTGGTCCCTGGCCCAGCACTCATCTGAAGACTATTACAAAGACAAGGACAAAAATGAAGAGAAAGCATTCAGAAATTTTCACAGCAATTTGACCTCGCTACAACGTCCAAGTGCATGACCAGCAGACTCGTATAGACCAGATGGGGTGTCAAAGCATCCACACAAGAAGTGGTATGTAGCGAGAGCTGCCTACCATGGGTGTGCAGTAGGACCACGACTCTGTTGATATAATTTGAGAGGCTACATTAGACTGCTCTTTAGTCTTTCCTATCTTCAGCCTTAAAGGAGGTATTTCTTGCTCCTCCCATAACCCAGTGCTAGAGAAGAAACCCTTCTCCAGGAGAAATTCTTTAAAGTCCAGGCGTTCACCCCTCCCCTCTGGTTTCACTCTCTTCCCAACCCAACCTGGGTAGAACCTCCATGCACATTCACACTACTCAGTGCATCGGCCCCAACAGTCACAGTCTCCACCTGGAGTGAATCCACTTCTGACCCAGGCTGCCAATGAGTGCTGAGTTCCAGTTGGGGGCCCACCTCCTTCTGGGATCATGGAAACACAATTCCCTTCAAGGAAGACCCAGCCCTTGCCCATGCCTTTCCCTGTTGTATTAATAATACAACAGAACAAACACACAGTTATTTTGTTGTTGTTATTGTTAAATATTTATTGAGAGGCAATTATTTGCAGTGATGTCAACCATTTATAACTGTGGTCCTTGCCCACAAGGAGCTCACAGGCCAAAAGGAGACACTGCCCAGGTATTGCAAGGAAGTTGAAGGCTA